AACCACATGTCACTAAATATCCATTATGGCGTAATTAAAAAAAATATCCATACATAAGATGGTTTCTTTTGTGATATCTGGTTTGTCACATCTACTAAACAGTTCTCTCCAATTTTATAGGCACAACAAATATTGATTTTCATCACATTTTTTTTATATATATACATACCACTACAGGTTCAGCTTTGGTTTCACTGATAATTTTCCACAGTGCTTCTGTAAATAATTCTCATTGACCAACATATAGTCTGATCCTTGCTATATTTTGACTGTGAATGATATATAATTTACAAAATGTCTTATGCTTCACCCACAACCAAATATGTTTTTCATCATTATCACATATTTTTAAAGTTAATTTGAAATATTTCAGTGCATTCCAAACATTTCTGACAGCGAAATAGTAACAAGAGACCCGAGACATTTTAAGTGACACCATAATTTATTAAGAACAAATAACCAAGAATTCAAAAGGTGACCCTATAAAACAAATCTTACTCGTAATGAGGCGAAAACAGGATTTCAAGTACATGATTTACCTGTCTACAAAGTTGACGTGGTTTATCATACGTGAGAAACAATTTCTTGACGACATCGAGACAAAAGCATAAATATTTTTATGGAGCGGGTTACGTAAGTCGACGCGTCCGATTGCATTAATTGCACTTGAATGTCTGGGCATGGGCTTTCTTCTTTCCACCGAAGAGATAAAGGTCAAAATAAAATGTCTCGGTTATTTATAACACAGCAGGCAATCAAGTACATTTAAATATGTCGGAAAACGTATCATTAGTAATGCAAAAAATCCCGCCAAAGAAAATAAATTTTCACATATCTTACGATTACCATTAATACTGCTATAATGCCACACGCAACAAATATAGGTGAATAAATAAGCGACTATAAAATATTTAAGAGCCTCGAGCGCAATGTGGTGTGTGAAATATTATATATTTACTAAACCCGTTAATAATATCAGGAAAACGAGAGAAAAAAATGAGTTGCTGGTAAAGTAGTTATTACTTGATGTTTTTCAATTTAATATAATGAAACACTTAACATTATTTATATGCAGTGTTACAAAAAAGTAGGTCAAGATATTAACCAGTGATGTCTCAGACGATAATAGGACAAATATTTTCAGTTTTCAAGAAAAAATAAGCGAATAAAGTAACTGCAGTATGCACTGCAATCTGCTACGGTGAACGCCACGCCGCCAATGTCTTTCAAACTTAGGTGTCCAATACAGTTAATTCCAAGAAAGTGATACAGGGGTCTTCTCAACAAATATCGTATTGACTGTAATTGCTCGTTTTCATGACACAGCGTGTTTGATTGAAAATTTACCTTTATTTTTATCCTACACAACTTTTGTGTAATTTTGATAAAAGAAATCAAAGCGGAAATGAAAAAAGAAGGGGTTATATTGTTCCTTGCCCTATCTAATTTTCTTTACACACACCTGTGATTTGAATGTATTGTTTTTTGGACCGGACCTATCTGTACGTTTTTCATTCCTATAAAATTTTGGTTTAGGCCTTGGTATATAGTCCAATTGAATGGGCCTTTAAATCGCAATTTTGGTCAAATTGCCTGAACTTTTGATATAAGTTAGTTTGAGATATATCAGAGGTGAAAAAAGACAAAATAAAAGGCCTTTTCAATATAACTCAAAAAGGGTAAGAGATAGAAAAAAAGTTTCTTATAAAAATTGTACAGTAAAAAATTAAACATAGAAATAGTCTATTGACTTTTCCTTGTACTATTAAAATTAACAGCGTTCGGGAGACTAGAAGTTAAGGGAAGATTTCAGAAATTTAAAAAATCGTAACATGCAGAAAAATTAATGCATTTCAAAAATTTTTTTTTTTCAGTCTACTCTAAAATATGTAAACTATCTTTTCAGAGAAATAGACATATTTTTTAATTTTTAATAATAAAGTTATAACAATTTCACAAAACGAACGTGTTTTTTTATCTTTATTATTATGGTAAAACAAAATTTCTAAAGCAACTTTTCATTATTTTAAATAATCAATCGATTGGCATAGAAAAAAAATTGTATTAGTGTTAAATGATAAAAATTAACGATTAAAAAATGGAAACTGTTATAACTTTTTTATTAAAAATTAAAAAATATATCTATTTTTCTGAAAAAAAAGCTTACATTTTTTAGAGTAGATTGAAAAAAAAATTATAAAATTAATTCATTTTTCTGCTTGTTATGATTTTTTAAATTTCTGTATTTATCCTTCAACTTCTAGCCACCCTAACTCTGTTAATATTAACAGTACAAGAAAAAGTCCATATACCATTTTTATAAAGAATTTTATGTTCTACAACTTTTATAAGAAACTTTTTTTTATAGCTCTTACCCCTTTTGAATTATCTGGAAAAACTCCTTTATTTTATCTTTTTTCAACCTTAGCCGGGGGTACAGTTACTCTATACAAGACAGTGGCGACGATAGAGTGTATCATTTTTAACTGGTCCACATGATTTTAGCTGCCATGTTGCATCCAGAGTCAAATTCATCTGTGATGTGTCATGTGTCAAGAGCGTTCTTGGTGTTATTCAATATTTGTATTGTTTTATTTTAATTTTGGTGATTATTAGTGATACTATATTGGGTATTCTGTGTTAAGGGATAGTTATAATGTTTGCAGAAGGTTCTATAAGGACGACGACCGTGAATTTCTTTCAGGTTTTTTGCACACCGTAACACAAAATATAACACCTACTTATGAGGAAGTTAAGTTTCCTGCTAACATAGAAGAACCAAAATTTACCTAGAAAATAAAAACTACCAGTTGCTACTATTATATATTTATCCTCCCCTATTGCACAAGTAGATTCTATATTCATTCATTATTTAAAATCACTTTCCAAATGAGTTATTTGCTTAAGATCTGTGCATAAAATTTATAAGAAAAATACTCCTGTCCTTAATTTATTTTTAATAAAAGTTACTTTTAATTTGACATTGGATGCAACATGGCAGATGGGCGGGGTTTAGTCGCTATTGTCGCCACTGTCTTGTATAGAGCCACTGTAGCCGGGGGTTGAAAAAAAATTACTGTCACTTATTGTTATTATATACCTCAAACTAACTTATATTAAAAATTCAGGCAAGTTGACCAAATTGTGATTTAAAGGCACATTTAATTGGACTATTACAAGATATCGCAACTTCTTCGAAAATGTGATATCGAGAAAGGTTTTCTGTTTTTTAATTTTCCGGTTTCTCTTTAGCGGTAAACTAACTTTCTTCTTAACGTTTAATAGTCAAAGTAGCTTTGCAGTCAATGTTTTGTAAAACTTATACGTTATTTATTTGCCTTTACAAAAGTTTGATCATTGTGAAAATGAATTTCAAAAGATCGAACTATACATTTTCCAGCATATCTGGATCTTTTTCAATAATGAAACCCAAGCTTACAATTGCTAATAGCCCAAGAAATAACATTTCACCTCGAAAAAAATCCCTCCAAGCTGATTTTATGCACAGTCGCTTTTTAAGGTGTCCCAAACCCAAATCACAAAAACCACAACATGGCTACCAAAAAGATTAAAGATCAAAGTTTTTTGAAAATATTTCGCATTCTACGCATCGGACATCCATAAGAGAATTTAATTATCTACAAGATTGGTCCCTTGCTCTATTCGAGATATTCAAGGTCAAAGTTTCAACTTTATCCCTGTACAAAGCATTGGGCGCGAGATATTCGTGAAGAACCTTGTTTTTGAAACTTTGAATTTAATTTTCTACGACTTTCACCTTATCTCCAATAAATAGAACGCGAGATATATGCAAATAATTTCAATATCTTGAGATTTTTGCGGATTTGGATTTGAGACATCTCGAAGAACGGATGTGCAAAAATTCAGCTTGGAGGGAATTTTGTCGAGGTTTCCTCCTTTTTTCGTCTAATTTCCTTGAGTTAGAATGTGAACAAACATTTTGAACTTTCAATTTTTAATATTAATTCCTAAGGTTGTCCTGTTTTCTGAGTTCTAATATTGGAATGTTGAATGTAGGCAACTAAAAGATTCAATTTTAAATAAATATAATTTAGATTAAGTAAATTAAGAAAAAACTATTATCAAAGTCGATGATATTTCAAAATAAACGAACATTTCTTTAAGAATATCGTGCCTTATGCGTAACATAAACAAAAACATTCCGGTTACATATCCAAACATGTTGTAATACTTCAAAAACGAAGCTCTAAATAAAAATTTTGTAAGAGTGAAAAAGGTAAATATAAAAAACGAGCGATATAATATACAGGGTGTCCCGGAAATGGTGGGCAATCTCTCGGATATGGATAGATAATGAGAAAATAATGTCACAAGTTCATATACAATTTTTTCCTCCGGGCTCACCCTGTAGAATAATTAGCTTTTGAAGTTGAGAATTAAAAATGGTTTTTTTGCTGTAACTTTTGTATTTTTCAATAAATTTTGGCTGGATCTATAATTTTTGAAGCTGTTTTGGATGATAATATGAAATCCTAGATAATGATTATGGGGGCCCGGGGGCAAAGCACCCCCATCAAAATTTCTAGAAAAAAAATTTTTGTCCCACTATATCCCAAATTTTCCCTCATTTTATAAAAATTTATGGTATTTTACGTAAAAAAGGTATACTTGTTGAATATCCATAAAATAGATATTTTTTGAGATAAACCCGTTTAAAGAGGAAAGTACCATTTAATTTGAGACATTTTATTTAATTGAAACACACAAAATTATACCTGCATACAAAACGTATACCGGCATAAGACATAATTCTATTAAAAATATCAGTTAAATATCTCAAAAAAGTTATTGTCTTAATCTTTATCTTGAAAACCAGACTCCCAAAATGAAAAATAACATAAGAGGAATTTCAGACTCTATGATTAACAGTTTGACAAAGTTATTATGATGTCAAATGTAAATCTTTTAAAGGTTATATTTATTCATTATGACCCAGAAAAGGAAAGCACTGTGCGGAGTTTTCTCAATCATTTTTTTAATGAAAAAAGACCAATCCTTATTACTATTATGACCAAATAAATGTAACAGAAATAAAAATGAAAGTATTAAATTAAGGAACAAAGGGTAAGTATACAATAGTTATAAAAGGTCAACTAAACTATCTCAAATTTATTTCTAAATCAAATATATCGTATGAGACGCAAAAATTGCAATAATACTCTCACCAGGAACGTGTTTCTAAAGAGTCAAACATAAATAATTTATTCCTACTCTAATTTTTTTGACTTTGTCGTCATGGTACGTAAAATACCTCTGACAACTTGAACACTTTTCTTCACGAATATGCATAAAACTATCAGAATACAAAACGTGACTACTATTATGAAACTTATAACATCTAAGAGGAAATACTGATAAAAGGGTATATCTGATGCTGGATTTCTTAAATGCTTTGCTCCCTTGTTTCTAATGATGTATTCGGTCCACCAGATAGCCTTCTCCAGACCAGTCATAGGAACGTCTTTGGATAGTCTTCCTAGACGTCTGACTGAATTGATATACCTGCAAAAGAAAAGGTAATATTTTACTTACACCATCAGACACTAGTGTGCCTTCTAAACATCTTTGATTATAAATAAATAAATACCTTCTGACAAAATTAACAATTCTCGTTACTTTTTGATCAAACCTTATCAACATTACCTCGTATATACTTACTTTGGATCTGTGATGACTTCTATTATGGCATTTTTTAACTCATCCTTCTTTACTGATGGTTTCCGGCCAATTGTTTTACCAATATGTTTGATTTCCATCAGTCTTGCGTTCTTGAACTGATCAAAGAAAAATGGAATCACTACCATCGGCACCTTACTGTAAACTGCTTCTTCCATCGACTGAAGACCTCCTTGAGTGATGAATAGTTTTATATTTGGATGTTCTGGAATAGTTAATTCATATTAGAAATACAGAAATAATTACATCTATCAGTTTTCTTATTTTCGACCTATACAGAGTTTATCTTTTTTACAACGGACGTTTTCTACAATTCAAATTTCTAGTCAGTTGCTATTCAAAATGGTTACATATTTTGATAACTTACTATCACAATAGATTTCGACAATTTATAATGCTGAACACATTTTTATATAACGAAATTTCCTGAAGATAGTCAATTTAAAGTGATAAAATTTGAGATACTTTAGTTTAAGGTGATGCTGATTAAGACTATATGTAGCAAAAAAATCACAGGATGTCGTTTAATACCAACTGGATTATCATAACTGCTTCAAGATGGCCAATAGTTATGGAAGAAAATTCATTTCATTTCAAACCTGCCCCTCCCCCCCTAGCTCCAAAAAATATTTATTACAGAATGTATTTGTGCATTAAAGAATTACATTAATAAAAATATTTTGTTAGATACATTTATTATTATTTTTCTGCATTTGTAATCGATCGACAATTTTTTTGCGAAACAGTGTAAAAAAATTAAATATTTAATTTTATGCGTACTTATGATAATAATATGGTATTATATTAATTACAGTATAAAATTACTGGCTTTGTGTAATAATTATGTAGCTAAAGTTGTACCTGTCATTTAAAATATTAATGTTTGAATTATTTAATTTATAGAATAAATATGCGTTATTAGGATTGAATGCAGCAACATTGACTTTTTTCCGATTCTAATTTATGTCTTTTAAATATTTAAATAAGGGTTTAATATCCGCTGAACAATTATTGTAATATGTTGATTATTACCTATACTGTACTCTGCATCAATAGATTATTCCAAATATGCCATATAAAACTATTCAATAATGATGTAAATGATAATTGTTACAGGCTTGTTATCTACTTTTATTTGGTCATGATATCTGTAACAGCATGTACTTTTTTAATGGCACAAATCTTTGCACTTTTTGATAGCGATTGTTATGACCTCTATTTGGTAAGCAATGTCTCTTTCTAAAATCACATCAGTCAGCTAAATACGTCTTGCAAACAGAGATATAGAAATTAAAGTAAACTTATATATACTATCCACATGATTATTCAAATAATTTTGTATTGAAAATGTACTGTTGGCATTTGTCTCTAGTTTAGTTCATGTTTATGTACTCTCTTAACCACAAATTTCTCTCATTGAGATTGTTCACGATTACCATTAAAACATTACAACACATGACAAGTTATGATTACAAACATTACATTACAAACATTACAAACACTTCTCTGTTTTGTTATCAAAATAACTGTCAAATGTGACAGTTTTTTAGTGGATTATACTCAATTATTAATTATTACATTTTTGAACAAGGCATTTACTAAAATATTAATTGTTTAGCAATAACGAAAATAATGAAGAAAACAAGAAAAACTGAATTCTAATAGCAACAGATTACAAGGTGATATACAGGATGTTTCTGAAATCAGTGGGTTCCTCCAAAGGGGCAATGGATTACATGAAAGTCAGTATAAAGTATAAAGTGCCATGTGTTCCAGAAAATTAATCAAGAATTATTACTCGAAACTTAGATCGACTCTGCATCGTCCCACTTAATCACAATTACAAAACAATGATAAAATAAAAAATTCTGTTAATTTCAATTCAATATTAGTTGTCAAAAAAAAGATAATAAACATTTTCCAATACACCCCGATAATAATGCAATAACGAAAATAATGAAGAAAACAAGAAAAACTGAATTTTAATAGCAACAGATTACAAGTTGATATACAGGATCTTTCTGAAATAAGTGGGTTCCTCCAAAGGGGCAATGGATTACATGAAAGTCAGTATAAAGTATAAAGTGCCATGTGCTTCAGAAAATTAATCAAGAATTATTACGCGAAACTTAGATCGACTCTGCATCGTCCCACTTAATCACAATTACAAAACAATGAAAAAATAAAAAAATTCTGTTAATTTCAATTCAATATTAGTTGTCAAAAAAAATATATAATAAACATTTTCCAATACACCCCGATAGTTAAGCAAACCAAACTCATATGTTGTTATTTTGATTACAGTTTTGGGAACGAAAATTGAGAGGTTTCGACACTTTAACAATTATATTATAATCGTAAATTATCTACTTTCTCGGTGTGAGCTATTTATGATTAGACAAAACTAAATAATATAAATTCAATCCCTAAACTGATCATTTTGATACACGGGTCATTTATTTAAAATTTGTTTTTCTTCCTAGCAAAATAAAAATACTCAATTAAATCATAAAAGTAAAAAGTAAGATATCAAAAGTCACAATTTAAGTTTAGAAGTGGAAATTTTGTGTTGAATTCAAATAAACTTTTTAAAAATTGATGCTTACTCAATACAATTTGCTGAGGCGCCCACCGAACCAATTTCACATTATCGGGTTTTCCGGGTAGATCATCGCCTTCGAATTTCCAAACAACCTTGTAAGGTATCTCCTTGAACGCTTGTACAATGGCTGTCAGAGTGTCATGATTGAGCTCCTTGCTCCTTACGTTGCTACCGAGACTAAAATAAATGAATCCTTCCTTGGCATTGTCCATAAAGTCTTTGAGGTCCTGAAAAAAATTCGAAAGTGAAAACAAAATTGTAATGAATAAATATGTCTGGCGATTTCGCCTTTATATGTTTTTATTTAAAAATAGAGAGAATATGAACGGGAACACACTTTTTAGGTGCCATGGTTTTGAACAAAGCAATTACTGGTATCACCGTTCTTTTATCAAGTATAAGAGCAGGTAATAAAATTTGTACATTTCTTTAAACACTGCAACATGTTTTGTACGTCAGAGTTTTTGATACTATTATGCATCAATTGTTAAATTAAAAGAATCAAGTCATGAGAAGGCGGATCTTTCTGCACTAGTTTGTAGTAAATATTTTTTTAAAGAAAAAAATGTGAGAATAATGTAACGATTAAGTGAAATCATGTGTAAAGTAAATCTATTATTATAATTTTTATTCAGCGCTAGATGCAATACAGACGAAAATTTCTTTAGTTCCTAGATAGTAGATTTATTCAATAACACTGGCCAACAAATTTTTTTTTTGGTTTGTAGGTTAGACCTATAATTTTTAATAAATTTTGAAGTGCTGAAAAAAAATTCGAAGAGTAAAATAATTTTCATAGTTTAGAACTTTTGTAATCGCAGGGACAAGTCTCTTCTACAGGGTGTTAGAAGTTTGATTGCCTTAATTTTGACAGACGATAGAATACATTAAAAAAAAAAACAATAAAAAACTTATTTATATGATATGGGTCCTAAACGCAAATATTTCCGAGAAAAAAATTATCAAAATCTCCAACTTGATGTACATACAAAAGTTCGATTAATTAAGGGATATTGACAACTGCGCTCATAGAATACCATGAAATACATCGTTTTTTTAAACTTGCTTAATTCTAAAAAATTATTAGCGTTGTAATAAATTTAAAATTCATATTGGGCGAAGTGACAACGGCGCGGCGGTTTATTAACACAAGGTATAAGGTGTCCAGCAACCACCAATACGCAATTCGTTGATATCTGGAATCGACCGTGTTGGAGTGTTTTTTGCGTACCACTATTTCCGTTTGATTAGAAGATGTCGTTGACATTTTAAGCATATGTTGTAGTTTGTTTTGTACTTGTGCGTTTAAAAATTACTGAATTTTGCTTTCTGGTAAGT